ATCTGCACTGGAACCAGGAAGTGATGCTCAAAGTAAGAACCAGAGCTCCCCCGAAAAGTACCACAGCCATCCTCAGCAACAGTGAGGTCCCAAGCTCCTCCAGTGATCAGGATTGCTGAGTTCCCATCAGGAAAACCAACATGACAAGCTTCTCCAGGAGACTGAGCAGTGCACCATCTTCCCCTCTGGAGTCAGGAAGCAATACTCGGAGTGAGGACCAGAGCTCCCCCAAAGTGAATCAAAGCCATTCTCAGCAACAAGGTCCCGAGCTCCTCGGAGGGTGAAGACAGCCAAGTTTATCAGGAGGGCCAGCATGACAAGCTTTTCTAAGAAAACCAACAGCTCCTTACATCTTCTCTCCACTTCCAACAGGCTCCTAGTAGCTTCTACCAGCTCCCAACAGCTTTTACCAGCTCCCAACAGCATTCCCCTTCTTCCTCTCCAGTTCTGCCTCTTATGCTGCTGGCAACAATCCTCAGGTGGGCCTCCCATACTCAGCACCACACTTATTAAGTTCATCAGGGTGTTACAAGTTGCCCACCAGTTGTCAATCCACCACAGAATCAATCTAATGAAGAAAGTAAATGAACTTTACATTGAAAACTACAGTACTCTGAAAAAAGAGATGAAAGAGTATATAAGAAAATGGCAAGATACTGATTGTTCTTGGGTAGGAAGAACTGATATAGTGAAAACGGCAATACTCCAAAATTGTTATACAGATTTAATGCAATCCTGATCACAATTTCAGCAGCATATCTCACAGAAATAGAGAAAACAATCCAGAATTCATTTGGAACCAGAAGAGACCTAGAATAGTGAAGGCAAGTCTAGGCAACAAGGGCAAAGCTGGGGGCATTACACTCCCTGACATGAAAATATACTACAAAACTACTGTGATAAAAACCAGCATAGTACTGGCAAAAAAAAGCAGACCTGGATCAATGGAACAGATTAGAAGATGCAGAAACAACACCAAACACACTTAGTCACCTTATCTTTGACAAAGAAGCCAAACACCTTCACTGCAAGAAAGATAGCCTCTTTAATAAATGGTGCTGGAAAAGCTGGCTTTCCACATGCTGAAGATTAAAAGTTGACCCATATCTTTCATCATCCACTAAACTAAAATAAAAAAGGTCAAAGATCTAAATATTAAAACAGAAATATTAAATCGGCTGAAAGATTTAATTGATGTAGGCAAAGACTTTATAAACAAAACCTCAGCTGCACAGGAACTATCACAAAGAGTCAACAACTGAGATCTCATCTTACTAAAAAGTGTTTACACAGCAAGAATAAACATCCAGCAGAGTGCACAGACAACCCAGAGAGTGGGAGAAAATTTTTGCCAGCTGTTCCCCAGATAAAGGACTACTGCCTAGAATATATAAAGAAATCAAAAAATCAGATGCCCCAAATTTAAAGACAGTCCAAAAATGGCCATCTGAAATGAACAGACAGTTCTCAGCTGAAGAGGTAGAAACAGCAAATAGTATAAAAAAGATGTTCAACATCACTGCACAATCTAGAGACTCAAATTAAAATAATGCTGAGATTCCATCTCACTCCAGAAAGGATGGCTATTATTAAGAAATCAACCAACAACAAATGCTTGCAGGGGTGTGGGGAAAAGGAAGACTTCTCTACTGCTGGTGGGAGTGTAGGCTGGTGCAACTAATATGGAAATCAGTGTGGAGATTCTTCAAACTAGGACCAGAGGTCCCACTGGACCCAGCTGTTCCCCTTCTTAGTATTTTTCCAAAAGAATTAAAAGTATCATACCACAGCAATATATGCATACCTACGTTTTCATCACATATACCATTATAAACCTTTACATACGAGTAATTATTTCAAATTTGAATGCATTAAATTCTCCCATCAAAAGACATACAATAGCTGAATGGACTTAACAATGATCCAATTCTATGCTGCCTATAAGACACTTTAGCTTTAAGAACACAGATAGTCTGAAAAGGAAGGAATGGAAAGAGGTACTCCATGAAAATGTTAACCAAAATAAGACAAAGGTGGCTGTTCATGGCTTGTATCTAGATGCTCTTCCAAGTCTCATGGGCTTACAGGTAGGGCTTTTGGGAGGTGGCTGAATGGGTAGGGTTTTGGGGAGGTGTGTGATGTTGGATTAAGATGGTGATAACTAAATTGGTTTAGCATAATTCTGGGTGTGGATAATGCGAAGGTCCACTTAATATGTGGTGTAGCCTGGATGGAATATAAAGGGAGGCCTACTGCTGCTGCTTGCTGATTGCTGGTTGCTGTTTGCTGCCTGGCCTGCCATGGACTGTTTCTCCTCCACTATGCCCATTTGCCATGGTGCCATGCCTTGGAGCCAGGTGACTATGGACTGAAATCTCTACAAAAGCTATATAAATCTTTCCTCCTTTAACTTGTGGATCTCAGGTATTTTGCCCCAGTGATGAGAAAAGTAACTAAAACAGTGACTCTATTTATATCAGACAAAAGAAAATTTATATATATTCAAAGGAAATGAAACCAGATCATCATAGAGATATCTGCAACCCTTGTTCATTGCAGTGTTATTCACAATAGACAAGATGTGGACAAATCTACGTGCTCATAAAGGAATTGTGATAATCTGTACAGCTAGCTGTATCATATTTTAAAAAGGAGACCCTGCACTAGGAACTACATGGATGAACCTAGAGGACATTATTCTAGGTCTAACATGACAAACACAGAAAGAAAAATGCTGCATGATGTCTTGTGCATATGGAATCTCTTTTAAAAAAAATTTCAATAAGTAGAATAGGACAGAGGTTACCAAGGTGTGATGGGTGGAAATGGGAAGACAAGGGGCAAGGGTACTAAGAAGCATGTGGTATACCTCAAATATATACAAGTAAAACTATACAAAATATCATTGCAATAAAAAACAAAAATCCCATTTAAAATCACATGAAACAAAAGAAAGGAAGCTAAAAAGTATGGTGGACCATCTGGACAACGGCTCTCCTTTAAAGAAGAGCATTTGGCCCTACCTCCATGTATTGATATGTACAAAGCTGGCTGAACATTTCCTTATTCCCCTCAATAGGCTTTAAGCAAAGCAAATAGGTCCAGCCAGGTGCTGAGGTGTAGTCTTTAAAGCAATGTGACAGGTCAGTGATGCTCCGCCCTCAGCTCCTGAGCTAGGCCTAGTGAAGCCACGCTGTCAGCTGAGAATGAGCCTGCAGAAAAGAGGCTGTAACTTCTCAGGCCATGGCTTACACATCAGAACTGAAGCACTGACCCCAAAACACCAGATACTGCCCCAATCTGTGATCTGCAGATTATTCTCTGTGCATATTGCAGAGGTGATTTCAGGCCTCAGCACTCATGTACTTCCCACCACTCTCACTGTCACTCATCCCCAAGCCACTCCCCTCTACACAAATTAGTAAAACCCGGGTTCAGCCCTGGGTCATGGTCTTTGTTTCAGTTAGCCATTGTTCTAGCTGGACTTAGGACCCCCTTGGCTCCCCACAACTACAGATATGCATTAGTGTCTTTATTCTCGCCATGGATTGCACTGGACATGGTAGATTGGAATTAACTTATTGGAATTCCAATAACTTTTCTCTGGGATTACAAATGTAAACTTCCTGGACCACAACGAGGTGTGGAAGGGCTTTCTATAAAAAGAACAGATGCAATGAATAAGAAACCATTACAGACCTGATCCATATTAACCCAATTGTATAATAATCAATTTAAAAATGAATGATTAAAATTCGTCAACCAAAAGACAGAACTTCAGAGAGACTGATGTATAATGTAGTATTTTAGAAGATAGTAATTTTAAATATACAGACACAGAAAAAATAAAGGGGTTAACAAAACCAGCCATAGTCATAGTAACTTCACAGCTGGGCATGGTAGCACATGCCTGTAATCCCAGCACAAGGGAGACTCAAGCAGAAGGATTGTCTCAAGCTCAAGACCAGCCTGGGCTACAAAGTGACTTCAAATCAGCATGAACTACACAGCAAGAAACTGTGCCTCAAAAAGCAAAGTATAATTCAGTTTTTGTGTTTTTTTGAGGAATTGAACTCAGGACCTGCACTTGCCAGGCAGGAGCTTATGCCTCTGAGCTATATCTCTGGCCCTATGCAAAGTATAATTCAGAAAAAGCAAAATTATCAGGGATGAAGGTGACATCACTTAATCACAAAGGGGTCTGTCCTCCAAGAAAACGTAACAGTCCTTAAGGTGTGTACATTTACCAACAGAGTGTCAAAATGTATGAGACAGAAACTGGTAGAAATGCAGAGTCATGCATTTATGCTACTTTTGGAAACGTTGAGTCTCAATCAGTAATCGATAGGTTCAGCAGACAGAAAATCAGTAAAATATATTTGACCTGAATATCACCATATATTAACTTGATTCCATGGATATTTATCCAATACTTTACCCAACAATACCAAAATAGACATTCTTCTCAAGCTGACATGGAGAATTCACCAAGATACAACATGGTCGAGGCCACAAATTGTACCTTAACAAATATAAAAGCATAGAGCTGGGCATGCTGGCGCACACCTGAAATCCCAGCCCTTGAGAGGGTGAGGCAGGATTGTCAAGGTCAGCCTGGGTGAGTTCAAAGACAGCCTAAACTATATAGGGATACCCTGTTTCAAACAAAAAACAAAACAACAGCAGCAACAACAAAATATTATGAACATATGGATCAAATATTTTATTTTATTTTTGGGGGGAGGGGTTGTTTTGTTTTGTTTTGTTTTCCGGTACTGGGAATCGAACTCACGATGTTGCGCTTGCCAGGCAGGCGCTGTGCCACTGAGCTAAATCCCCAGCTCCCAGATCAAATATTTTAAACTAAATAAAAATGAAAACACCACTTATGATATGGGGTGCAGCAAAAGCCGTGCTTACAGTGACATTTAAAGCCTTGAACTGCATATATTAGAAAACAAGAAAGATCTACAATATCTAAGCCTATCTGGCATACTTACATGATGGAGTTCTCTCTGATGACAAAATACTGGGGAGCATGCATTTGTCTTCAGATAGCACAAAGACAGAAGGAGGAACCCCAACCCACAGAAGCAGTCAAGGACAGGGATACCCAGGAAATCAAACTGGAGTTCATCCATTCCACCAAGAGGCTCCTCAGACAGTGGTGGTGGTGCTCATCATCAGAAGCTGAACACTGACAGTGCACATTCCAGACCATGGTTCCAGGCTCACATCACAGAGGTTTAGCGCACAGCAGAGGTTCTGGAGGAGGGGGAGGGGTGCCGTGGGAGATGCGTCCACAGACCAGCTGATCCATCCAGGACCCTGGGGCCCTTTAGGTCCCTATATCTTTCTCTCCAACTCCACCTTTATTGTATAACATATGTCGACTTCACTGACCTTTTCTCCTTATTCCAACAGTTTGCTAGGTGTTTTGGGAGGCTTTTACTTCTTAGTAATCTCCCTTTGGATTGCACACAATTTTTGAAAGTCTGTTGTGCCCAAGGAGTTACACCTCAAGATCTACTCTCTCCTCACCTGCAGCTTCCCCACTTACACAGTGTTTTGTTCACTTTTATAAAACCAGAAATATACTCCACCGTCACTCACCCCCTTCCCACACATATAGTTCCTCAAAATAATATTTACTGAAAGCTGTTAGAGGGTGGAATACCCCATACCAAGGGCACAAGAGGGAGAAAAGGGATTTTTCCTCATCCAGGAAAAACAACTTGAACATCTTCTAGCAGTTCTTTTCTCCAGAATCTCTTAGACTGTTCTGTCCATAAAGCCTCTCAAATCTACCCTTTTCTACCCACGTAGCACCCCACGCAGCTGCTTCCTCATTCTCTACCTAACCCCCTCTTCTTCTTCCCGTTGTTAATTCTATCTGGACTTCATGGAGCATTTGTGCTACCCACAACCCACACAGCCACGCCCATCCTGATTGAGGGAGTAGGCTTCCTAATATCATCATCTTGAAAGAGCATAATTGAAATTATATATAGCAAAAACTTTCATATTTAATAGTAGATAATGGTTACTTCTGTGGAAGTATTTGTGAAGTTTATTCCCATCTACTTTCAAATTTTTCACAAAGATTCTGATTACCTCCTCTATATTTTTTAAAACAAGATCTCAATCTTGTGTGGGGTACACAGTACCTGTATTTATTTTATTTATTTATTTATTTATTTATTTATTCATTTAATTTTATTTTTTTTTGGTTTTTCTCCAGTACCGGGAACCGAACTCATGACCTTGTGCTTGCCAGGCAGGCGCATTGCCGCTGAGCTAAATCCCCAGCCCTCCTGTATTTATTTTATCTCACCAAATGATCTAGTCACTTATAGTCTTTAAAACTTCATTATTTAGATGATAAACTACCATTTCCTGACATTGCTTGTTTATGTTTCCTCAGTGGACCTGAGGACTCTGCCCTGGCTACTTTCCATATAATAGTTTACTAATAATGATAACCCCTTTCTTCACCTCCACTGTCCACCTAACGCAAGTCCGCCTTCTCTCATCTACCTTCCTTGGCTACAGCAGATCTCTATTCAGAAAAATCCCTCCAGTATCACATGTTAAATTACTAAACTGGGGAAGAGAATATCCTTTTCTTAATACACACAATGAATACGCAAGGAGAAAATGCATGAGTAAGAAATGTGTTAACTAAGAGAGCATACAAAAGGCTGATGCCTCAACAGTAAAGGAATTTACCAAAAGTAGTGCTTGATTATTTCTCTCATCATGAGGACACAAATTAATTAGACACAAATGAATAGAGGAAAGGATTAATTTGGATCAAAGTTTATGGAGATGCCTCACAGTTTATAGAGATTTCAGTCCATAGTCAGCTGGCTCCAAGGCAGGGTGGCATGGCAGAGGAGGTTGCTCATGGCATGGCAGCAGGAGGCAGAGAGAAATCGAGGGAGGAGCGAGAAAGATATCTCCTTCCAGGCCCAGTGACCCACCAACTCCAATCAGGCTTTGCCTGTCAACATCACATTTAGTTATGAACTCATCAGTGGACTGATCCAATCACCTCCCAAAACCCCACCCAGACCACATAGGCTCTGGGGGAATGGTTATATATAAGCTATAGCAGGTACAATAAGTCAGAAGGAAGTTTATTGAAAGATACACTATGAGAGACAGCAGGGGCAGCTTTTATGTGATCGCTGACCCGTGCCAAGGCCCATGGGGGTTTGTGACACATAGCAAGATTGGACAATAGGTTATTTTTGGTGTGGGGTAGACAGCCCTTGGGATATGATCACAAGGAGGTGAACAGCTTCTTGGACAAGACTGCATTTGAGCCATGCGGTATGTGTGCTGAGTTTGTTCATGCCTATTTTGCAGAGCAAGGAATTTTCATCTTATTTTTCTACAAAGTACATTCTCAAAAATTCAGGAATATGAATCTAGTCATATATGTGGGAAGGGAAAGAAAAACTTGTATAAATATTTTAATACTAAGTATACTGAGACATCATGAGATTAATACAAGTTACCTTTGGCCTCTACATAGTGGTGGCCATTTATTAGTATAGCAAACTGCTTGGGTGACCCTGGTTTTTGAGACTGCTGCACATGCGTTTTCAATTTCTTCTCCAAGGGCCAGCAGTGTAGTGGGTTTTCTGTGATATACAACATCCTCTAGGGTTCCCCCTACAAGGGTAACACCATCTGCTGAAAACTCATCATATTATTTTTTAAAAATTTAAGTAAGTTTATTGGTACAATTTAGTTATAGGGTGGGGATTTAGCTCAGTGGCACAGCGCTTGCCTGGCAAAGCACAAGGCTGTGAGTTCGATTCCCTGTACCAGAAAAAAAAAATTCAGTTATATACAATGATCACATTCATTATAGGGATTTTGTACTTGTACATAATATACCTTGATTTGTCTTGTTTTTCCTTCCCACTCCCCCTCCCTTTAACCCCTCTTCCCTCCTTATTTACAAAGTTCTCTTTCCATCTTATTTTTCTTTCCCCATTGTTTCTTTTTGCTTCCTTTCTTTCCCCCTCCCCCTCCCTAGTTCCTCTTTCCTTTTGAACAATTTCTTCCCATCTCACCACATGTCTTGTACAATTTGGTTCTTATCTACACTTTCAATTTCACAACAGTAAGATTTATTTCACTTAAGAAAAATCAATTAAGAGTGTGATCTTAAGGTCCATGCTAGCAATCGATGTCTCATTTATCCTTCGTTATGGCAGAGTAGTACTCCATTATATTAAAAAACACATCTTTTTTATCCATTCATCAGTTTATGGACATTTGGGTTGTTCCAAGCTTTAGCTTTTATAAACTGTGTTGCTATAAATAAGGGTGCACATATATTTCTGTGGTATGATACTTTTAATTGTTTTGGGAAGATACAAAGAAGGGGCATAGCTGAGCCAAATGGAGCCTCTAGTCCTACTTTTCTGAGGAATCTCCACATTGATTTCCATAGTGGTTGCACCAGTCTACACTCCCACCAACAATGAAGAAGGGTTCCCTTTTCCCCACAGCCCTGCCAGCATTTGCTATTGGTCAATTTTCTGGTGATAGCCATTCTTTATGGAGTGAGATAGAATCTCAGTGTTGTTTTAATTTGCATCTCCTGAAGGATCAGTGATACTGAAAAATTTTTTATGTCATACTATTTTTCTTTTCCTAAAGTGTGTGTACATTTTTTGCAGATTCTGTGTATATATGTCCTCTGTATATATTTGTGTTTGTGTGTATATGTACACACACACACACACACACAGGGAGGATAGAAGAGGGAAGAGGGAAATGGAAATCTAGAGTTAGGCAGGTGAGTCAAAATATATCTGGATAAATCTAGATAAAGGCTATACTGTTGCTTTCCATTCGTGCAACTTCTATAAATTTCTTTTCAAATAAATATTCTTTAAAAATGAATCACTGATCGTGTTGTACCGCACTTTGCTGAACATTTGAGAATTTTGGCTTTGATTCCTTCAGCTTCTCCTTCCAGATCCAGCCCTCCCCGCTACCACTCAAAACCAACTTCAAGACAAGGCTTCAGAATCTGCCCCAGGAGAGAAGCTGGAGCCTCTCTTCACATTTCAAGTAGCTTCCACATGAACAGGACTTTCACAAAATACTGGAAAGAAAAAGTGTTGCTCATTGTACACGATGAAAAACAACCACCAAAGTTTCAAAGAGCCACATTTTACAGCATCGAAACTCTTGGTTTCCAGTTTGGTGCCACTGTGTCGTGTGTCTCCTGGAGTTTGTGGCAGATGGGTGGACAGGTGTTTTTTCTGCTTTGCTACATCACGTACCTCTCCTCCTAGGAGTCCCATCTTCCGTGTCTTGGTGCATTTTGTCATAGCCTCTCTAGTTCTCATCAGTCCTAACCGTTCTTATTTTTTAAATTCTTTAAGCAGCTTATTAAAATATAGTTCACAAACTGTGACTGGATGTTAAAGTTCATACTGCTTATCGCTCCCCAGAAACATGGGGGGCAAATTATTGTGGTAACAAGAAAAAAATTAGTGAAAACTAGCTCCACAGGAGACAAGGAAACCTTTGCCTCCAATCTCTGTGTTCAGATTTACAGAGGATTTTACTGCAGGAAAGAGGAAGGAGGGATAGAGTGAGACCATAGAGCAGGAAGTTTAGGGATGATTTCCGGCTGTCTCCCACCCTCGTGGAAATGACATTGGAATTTCACTTTCTTCGGCCACCATCTGCATACTCTTTACACACAGACGTGCTATTTTTCTGATAGACCCCCTTTCTCTGTGCATTCATCTGAGTGGAGTTGAGAAAGAGGTGGTTTATGTTCTCAGTATGAGGAAGTTGGAAAAGCAGACTATCTCTAAAAGAAAAGAATCATGCTTTTAAAAGACTCCATTCAACCGCTTTGGCATAGCACCATTAAGCTCACCCAATTCAGCTGTAAATTCAATATTTGGTATATTCAGAGTTTAGTATCCATCTCCACAGTCAATTTTAAAACATTTTCATGACTTCAAAAAGAGAACCATCTCCCTTCACAATTCACACTTACCATCCTTCATCCCCCAGCTCTAAACAATCTCTAGTCTACTTTCTGTCTCCATAGATTTTTCCTGTTACAAAAATGGAATCATATAACGTGTGATTATTTCCACTTCTTTCACTTGGCAGTGTTCTCCAAGTTCATCCAAGTTGTAGCATGCCCCCTACTCTATTCCTTCCTATGACTGCCTTACACT